AATTAGTTATGAATATAAATGTTGGTATTTGTGAACGGTTCCGTGTATGTCCAGATGTATATCGCATTGATTAGGGTTCGAGGATTGGTTGTGTGTCTCCGGAGCCCAAAACTTAAGACAGGGTATCCTTCTGAAAACCAGTTTGAAAACCCGAGTTTCACGAATGGGGTTAGACAGTTTTGTGAATATCAATATTTTTGTTATAAAGTATTATTTTATTCAGTTTGTTTATATTCTCAATTTTTTTCGAATCTTTTAAATCAAAATCTACACAAATGTTAAGACCCCAAATAGTAAACTCGGGAGTTTTGTCCAACGATACTCTTTTAAATTTCGGGCTCGGGTATACCAGGAGACTGGAGGAGAACTATTCTCTCAAGTGCCAAGAATTAGGTGGACAACTGTTATAGTACTCATGGGTGGTCGTTAATACTAGACACACACAACACAAAGGAAAGATGGATGAAAGAAAGGATGGAATAACAAGTACAGTGGTTACCTGAAAACAATGATTTTCGCCTTGTTTCTTTATTTAACTATTAGATGTCGTTAATGAATATGTAATTTTTAAAACGTGCCCTGAACATTTTTAGACATGCTTAAATATCAAGACTATTCGAATAACAACGTTAGCATTTCTTTTTTTAAACTGTGTACTACGTGTTCCATGTTGCGAGTCTATTACGACTTAACTAGGCCTGGGCACGTTACAACATTTTCAAGCCGTTTCGTTAATAGTTAGTTCCACAGTTTTAAAATAAAATCTCATGGGCAGCCATTAGTTTCAGAGAGTAAGAACGAAACTTCGTTTAGTTAATGGTATTTTACGTTATTTTTAAAAGTTACCGTTAGTTAACGATCTAAATTTTATTAACGGCGTCAGTCGTTAATGCTACGGCTAATGCAGAATTAACGGAGAAAACATTTCGTTAATGAATGACATCAAACGGTCTATATCATAGTATTAACGAAAAAAATAAAAACATCAAAACACGTACATTGTTTTTGTTTATTTACAAATTTAATGTAATTTTAAGCGAAAAAAAGCAAAATTCACCGTTTAAAAAAATAGTTTCGTTTTCAACAGTATTTTTTGTTGTTGTCAAAAACGGCTAATCCGATTCGTTAACAAATGCAAATGTTTTCTGTAAAGCTACAAGAAACTCAACTTGGAGCAGTAAAATGCTCTAGAAATGAACATTAGTCTTGATATTAATTACAGGGCGTGAAATTCCGATATTTGAGGTCATTCATACAAGTTTTTATACCCCTCGAATTCATCAAAGAGAGGGGAGGATAAAGGGAGTAAAAACTCCCTCTGTGGGAGAAACGAACCGAACCCAAGGAAAATTATCAATCATAGCTGGGTTGACAAGCAGATACACATTCATCGTTTTATTCAAGGAAATTAGTTTAATATAGAAACATATAGAAAGGGGGGGGAGGATTTTAACAGTCAACTCGTCAACCTGTAAATACCAAAAATCCATGTGTCTTTACAATATCCCGCAAACACTTTGTCTCCGTCTCCGACATACCGATGTCGCACATCAAATGTCCAGAATTATTTATCCGACATCTTCGCAATCAGAACTACAAGTCGGTTTAAAGTTTTCCTGGGAAAAAGTGAAAACTTTTTTAAGTATCGAAATTTACGAGACTGGACAAAATTGAAAATGGCTGGATAAAGTAAAGAAAGGAAAGATAAAGTAAAGAATGAAGTAAAGAAAGGAAGAATGAAGTAAAGAAAGGAAGGATAAAGTAAAGAAAGGAAGAATGAAGTTAAGAAAGGAAGAATGAAGTAAAGAAAGGAAGAATGAAGTAAAGAAAGGAAGAATGAAGTAAAGAAAGGAAGAATGAAGTAAAGAAAGGAAGAATGAAGTAAAGAGAGGAAGAATGAAGTAAAGAGAGGAAGGATAAAGTAAAGAAAGGAAGAATTAGGTTAAGAAAGAATTAATGAAGTAAAGAAAGGAAGGATAACGTAAAGAAAGGATGAAGTAAAGAAAGGAAGGATAAAGTAAAGAAAGGAAGGATGAAGAAAAAAAGGAAGAACTAAGTAAAGAAAGGGAGGATGAAGTAAAAAAAGAAAGACTGAGGTAAAGAAAGTAACAATAAGGTAAAGAAAGAAAGAATGAAGTAAAGAAAGAATGAAGTGGAGAAAGGAATGATGAAGTAAAGAAAGGAAGGACGAATTAAGTGAGGAAAAGAAGGGTAAAGAAAGGAAGGATGAAGTGAAGAAAGAATAAATGAAAGGCTGAATGAAGTATAGAAAATATGAATGAAAGGATGAGGAAAAGTATGCGAAGATTGAAGTCCTGCATTGAATAGAAAAGTGAAGTGAGGATAGATTCAAAGATTGATAGAGCGATGGAAAGATAAATGGATAGATAGATACATAGAAGGATGGAAAGATAAATAGATGGAAAGATAGATAGATGGATTGATTCTCCGATATATAGCTGGGAGACAATGATATAAAGGGATATAGTTGAGAACTTGATAAATTGTGTATTCTGTAGAGAACATGGAGACACTGATTGGTACTTTGTTTAGATACGTGGACACCATACTCAATACTAGACACTATACTCAATACTAGACACCATACTCAATACTAGACACCATACTCTATATTAGACACTATAGTCCATACTAGACACTATACTCAATACTAGACACTATACTCAATACTAGACATTATACTTAATACTAGACATTATACTCAATACTAGACACCATACTCAATACTAGACATTATACTCAATACTAGACACTATACTCAATTCTAGACACTATACTTAATACTAGACATTATACTCAATACTAGAAATTATACTCAATACTAGACACCATACTCAATACTAGATTATACTCAATACTAGACATTATACTCAATACTAGACACCATACTCAATACTAGACATTATACTCAATACTAGACACTATGCTCAATACTAGACATTATACTCAATACTATACATTATACTCAATACTAGACACTGTACTCAATACTAGACACTATCAATTGATTTTAGATCTACTTTCGTAGTCAGCCCTAGAAATAATTTTCATCATCGGCTTGTAGACGGGTGAATACTATACATATACATCCTAGCTCTAATTTGAATTTAGAAACTCGTAAGTTTAGGATCAAAAGACTCAGGCAGAGAAACTTCTTCTCAAACAGTTTAAAAGTACCTAAAATGATCATCCTAGGTTTTACGTGTCTCATACTTCATATGGAATATATAATCGGAGAAAAACCAAAATTCAAAATATAAAATATAAAAAAATATAAAATATACAAATAATTTTGTAAAAATTAAGTTTTAAATGAGGCAGTGCTTTGCCACGAAACACCTGGAAACTCAATATTTATCAAATTTTCGATTGCTTCCAGATGAGTAAAAAGCACATCATGACTGGTTGAAACAGATCCACCTATACAAATTGCATTAGTTTGTTTTTTCCAACACTATGCTCAATACTAGACACTATACTCAATACTATACATTATACTCAATACTAGACATCATTCTCAATACTAGAGACTTTACTAGATACTAGACTCAATATTAGACACTTTACTCAATACTAGACACTATGCTCAATACTAGACACTATACTCAATACTAGACATTATACTCAATACTAGACACCATACTCAATATTAGACACCATACTCAATACTAGACACCATACTCAATACTCGACATTATACTCAATACTAGACATTATACTCAATACTGACACCATACTCAATACTAGACCCTGTACTCAATACTAGACACTATGCTCAATACTAGACACTATACTCAATACTAGACATCATTCTCAATACTAGACACCATACTCATTACTAGACATTATACTCAATACTAGACACTATACTCAATACTATACATTATACTCAATACTAGACATCATTCTCAATACTAGACTATACTAGATACTAGACACCATACTCAATACTAGACACTATACTCAATACTAGACATCATTCTCAATACTAGACATTATAATTAATACTAGACACTATACTCAATACTAGACACTATACTCAATACTATACATTATACTCAATACTAGACATCATTCTCAATACTAGTGACTATACTAGATACTAGACACCATACACATTACACAATGCTACCGTTCATATTATGAACAAAAGGAAAAGTTAAAAAATAAAATAATTCTCTCTAAATCCTCCGAATCTTGTAAATCCTGCCAAACTTCTGATTGAAAATTTTACTATAGATGGTGAAACATTAATACAAAATGTTAGATAAATTTTTGAACCCATTTCATTCTTTCAGAACCCTTTTTATACAGTTTGTGAAATTCTACAATTCCAAGTTAACGCCTTTTGATGTGCCTAAAATATAATGACAGGTATTTTAGCACAAAATTGAACTATTTTTATCCTTCTTCTCAGCCTTTAACACAGTTTGGCTCCCCTACAAACCCAATTTTCCTGGTACATAAATCTTTGCAACCCGATGGGGTAAATGTCGGAACATTTTCATCTTCAAATTGTTTAATATAACAGAACCAGTAGTTTAAAGTCTAGGGTCTATGGCAATGATTGGAAAGATAGTGTTTTAAAAAATTAATTTCGTCTCAAAAAACTCAGTTCGGCAATGAAATTTAAATGGCCACTTCCACACCCTACAATTTTATTTGTTGATTTTCCATTTAAATAAAAGCCATGGAGTTCCCCGTTTAGAATTTGAACATTTTTCTTTCTTTATTCCACTGACTCTTAATCCGATTATCCCCAAGTCCGATTATCCCCAAATACTGATGCCTAAAGAAAGATGGCAGATTTTATAAATTAATAATTTTCGAAATCATAACAAAAGAAACTCGAGTTTAGCAAGAAAATAAACGTATTCATCCGATATCTGAGAGAAAAACTAGCTGTTGATCATCAAATACATGTTTTATTTATATAAAGTCCGAGCCACGACATTTTCTCTAAAACTATCTTAAATTGATTAAGAAATAAATCTATATTTCATGTTCTATAATATATTGAGTAAATGTGCTATGTTTTTTTAGCTGCGGCTTGCTGAGCTGCTTTTTTAGCTTTTACCAACTCCGCCAACTCTTTATATCTAGAAATAAGAAGAATTTTAATTTTAAAAATGTACAGGGGTCAACTTTAGTCCATCAAATATGATCCCAAATGTTGACAGATTGATATTCTCGGCAGAAATTCGCCATTTTGTTGTTGTGAACTTTTAGAATTCATGATGTCATGTTGTCGAAAAAAATCCATACTGCAGAATGTATATTGCAAGGGAGTGTTAAAGGTTTATTTTCTGTTTTCATTATTGATCTCTTATATTGATTGATTACTGATATTTACATCTGTTAACACCCCAAATGCAGTACACATTTCCGAAGTGTAGTACACATACACAAAAAAGTTACAAAGTTCACAATGACACAGATAGTGCATTTTTCGTGCCAAAATGTACCTTTCCTTCCCGTTCCACAATAATACCCTTTTAATCTCTGTCTACCGAAAAAAGAGAGAATTTTATCCATCTCAAAATTTGTAGATTCCAAGGAAAATAATTGACAGAATTTATCTAGTTTTAAGATTTAAAAAAAGACGAAATCTTAATCATTGCAGCTTAGCCAACCTTTAAACCTTTAAACTATCATACATTCGATTTGAAAAAAATTCAAGTTTTCAAAATTCGTTTTTTTACCTCTTCATGCACTCCTTCTTACTCCGTCCAGGAATACTTTCAGATATACGGTCCCATCGTTCCGGAGTAGTGCTAGGGAACGTCTTCAAAGACTGGAACAAAAAACATTGTTACAAGTTATTCGAATACACTGCGCATTGTTTTTATTAAAGTTTAAAATTGGGTGCTTGCGAAAAAAACATTGAGAAATTACCACCGGTCGCCCGCGAAAATAATATCAAGAAATTAGGAAATGGACGAGATCTTAACAGTATGTAATTAATAAAAAAGGCGCCGTTACAGAGAGTCGGTGGCACGCTTGAGATGCCGTTACAGCGGTTTTAACGAAACTTAAGCCTGTTCTAGAAGCTGCTGTTCGTCTGGACTCCATTGACTATTATTTACCTGTTCAAGAAGCCTCTGCTCATTTGGACTCCATTGACTATTATTTACCTGTTCTAGAAGCTGCTTTTTGTTTGGACTCCACTGACTATTATTTACCTGTTAAAAAGCTGCTGTCCGTCTGGACTCCATGGACTATTATTTACCTGTTCAAGAAGCTGCTGTTCGTCTGGACTCCCTGGACTATTATTTACCTGTTCGAGATGCTTCTGTTCGTCTGGACTCCATGAAATATTTTTTACCTGTTCAAGAAGCTGCTGTTCGTCTGGACTCCCTGGACTATTATTTACCTGTTCGAGATGCTTCTGTTCGTCTGGACTCCATGGACTATTATTTACCTGTTCTAGAAGCTTCTGTTCGTCTGGACTCCATGGACTATTATTTATCCCACAGGACTCTTCAAGTGTTTCTGTTCTCAAACTAGCCTGCAACATTGGATACAATTTAAATTAAGGACAAATATTAATACAAAATATGAGATTATAATTCCCTATAGAGAAATTGCTTAAGGGTATTGTCGTAAGTGAACAACTTGATCCTAATTTCTACTCACTCACTCACTCCCCCCTTTAATATCACTTACCGGAGATTCCACAATAACTTCACGTTTCTGTCCTTTTTGCAGATTTTCATACGCCATCTTGTTAACCTCATCCTGGGGGAGATAAAAATAAATATATTTAAATTCTTAAAATATTTCTTCTTGTAATTTAAACAATATTTATTATTGTCAAAATAAAAAGTTATTTCAATAAGCATTACAAAAATATTACAGTACCTTAAGAGTACTCATAGCAAAGTTTCCGCTTGCCATTTCCTTCGCTTGAGACATAGTTTCCTTAGCACTTCGTTTTATTTCCTAAATAATATTTATCAAATGAGAAATCTAATTGGTCGGAAACCAGAAGGGATATCTAAGAGCAGAAAATCAAAAGTGTCCAAAGCGGATATCGAGATTAAGCGATTAATTAATCCAACACAAAAATGTCCAGCTGAGATCAATTTTAAAGATCTTCAATTCTCTAGAATCTGCACCAAAAAGAAAAGATATATTTACAAAATAAAAAATTGGTTGGTCGGTCAGGAATGAAGTTGCTGAATTAGTCCCAGTCGGTTGAACTGCTTCTTTTATATATATAAAGGGTATTTCACCAAACTCATTAGTTGAAACAAACCATGAGTAGGCAATGCGTAATTTTTACCTGCAGAGAACTATAAATTTAAGAAAAGGGACTAAATAATTTCCGTACAGTCGTCTCCAATGTGGGTAACCCTTTATGTGCTTCAATAAAACAACTGTTGTCCCAAAATATCGTCTTCAACAACTTTATATAATATATAAAGTGTTTGAACTAACCGGTGTTTTAGTGTGCTGATTAACAAACTCTGCAACGACCTCCCAGCGTTGTTGTGTCCCGGCAGGAAACAGGTTGACCGCCTTTATCAGTAGCTGCAGCTCATCACTACTCCATGCCTAGAGAGGGAAAATTGTTTAATTGGTATAGTTTGGTATACGGAATACGGATTCGAGATTTTCTAGATCCAACATGGTAAAAACCTTTCTAATCTTTAACTCAATTGTCGTTTTAAAATTATCAAAAAAGCTCCTCATTGCAACATACTTAGGGGAGTTGTTAGTTGTAAGACTCCTAATTTTGACCCCCCCCCCTTTCGGAATCATATTTTTCCCCAAATCCACAACTTAAAAACAGGTATAATTTACAGGTTTCCAAAGAAGTTTGATGCGACAAAGGGCGGGGGGTAGCGCAGGGGGCGGCACAGGCCCCTTTGCACAGAAATTTTTTGGATTTTAGTATAATGGATCGTTTTTAATCTTGTTGTTTTGTGTGGTTTTCCCTCAACTCTTCCCTTTTGCCCCTTTTCTCTTCCCTCTTCCTCTTTTTCCCTTCCCTTTCCACTTCCTTTTTCCTTTTCCCCTTCCCCTTCCCTTTCCCCTTTTTCCTTTTTTCTTATTTTTTCACCCCCAAACCCAATGAAAGCTCAAATTTTTGGGTGGCAAACAGGAAAATATACACACCTGTAAAAATGCCAATGAGCTGTTTTTAATGACCCAATGGGTCAATTTAATTCTTATTTAAACATTAAAACCTTAAGATTATTCAAATTATCTGTAGAATAATCTGCTTACCCTGGCATTTGTTTGTTTCTCAGCAGCCGGAGAAGCTTTGGTTGGTTCAGACGTTGCACTCCTCTCATCATCTAGTTTATTATTTAGTCGCCTTAACTCCTGTAACAGATATCTATTTAAATATATGTTTCACAAATAAAATAAAATCACAAGCTGTAGGGATGGCCTAAGACTCCTGAATAAATTGGAGTTTCAAGTCTACTTTAGATATTCTTCATTTGAAGTTAACTATTTCAAGGTATCTCAAAGGATTGTTTGTACAAATTCTTAGCAAAATTAAGATGGACATTTTTTCTTTTAGTTTTGATCATTGATTCATTCGAAATAGTGAACAGTCCCTTTAAAAATAAAGAATCTTAAATTGTTAAATATATTTTTTCATCCAAATTGTAGCCAATAAACGTGTAAAGGAGTGAACCAGATGAGCAAAAATTTTGTATTTATTGTTTAACCTTGAAAGTTTCCCTGGTATTTTTAGGGGCGGTAATATTTAAAATTGTACCCCAAAAAAGTTAACAAAATTGAAGAAAAATTCGTAAAATGTTTGCTGGTAATTAATTAAACGTAAAATTATTACCTGTAGGAAGACCTGTTTAGCTGTCTGATTGTCCTGAAGTCTATCGTTCAAGTCTCTGAGTTTCTCTAGAGAATAAACGTCACATATTTTCTCCATCTCCAGCAGGTTTACCACTTTCATATTCTCATTCTCGGCAAACATATCATGCTCCTGATCAAATGAAACGAAATGAAAAGACTATAGGTTCAAATTCCTTCTATTTTCTGATTCAGCTCTAATCTTGTGCTTAACTTCAGAATTGATATTTTTGAGTTCAACTTCAAAGAGTGTGATTGCACAAAATGAATGCTAACTCTATTTCACTCTCTCAAGTTTAACTGTTACAGTTCAACAAGTTCACGGCCGTCGAGAATATTAAAAAAAACTTTTAACATTTATACCTTAGCAATAGTTCTTAATTTCTTCCTTTCCACTTTCAAAAGTTTCTTGTGTGCTTCTCTTTCCTTCTTCTCCACTTCCGCTTCCGCCTTTTTAATCTTCTCCGCCTCTTCCTTTTCCCGCTTTTCCTTTTCCTCCGCCTCTTTCTTTAATCTTTCCTCCTCTTCCTTTCTCGCCTTGACAGCATCCGCCTTGGCCTTCTTCTTAGCTGCCTTCTCGTCAAACTCCGCCTTACGAAACTTGATGATCCTGGGATCACAGTTGTAGGCATTATCCACTAGTTTTCTGATCCTTTTACTTTCCTCCTTCTTCTTCTCTAGCCGCTGTGCTCTGTTTATTTTCTCTATCTCTCGTCGTTCCCATTTATCTGAAGCTTTCTCTTTATCCTCTTCATCTAATATAGAAATAAACATTAACAAATATATATATCAATTGAACATAAAAACACAAAGATTTTTGCAAGTAAAGTTTAACTGAAAACTTCGGAAACACTGAAAGAATTTATAAAATGTCGTCTTCAGAATTTTTCAATTAGTTTTAAACAGTTTTAAAGTTTTAAAGAGCTCCCTATCATTATTTAATCAAATAACTATATAGTATATATCTGAACCATTCCTTATCAGTAGGTTTAGAAAACGACATTTTATCAATTCTCTTGATGTCTCCGAAGTACTGGGTATAACTGTAGAAGGACAACTGATATTGTTGCATCAGGTTGGACACTTTTCTACATATATCTTTATAGTAAAATCTGCACATGAAGGAGTATTCTCAACACTGGGCTAAATGAGTGTTTTTTCCAAATAAAAAATAGGGGTGAATTAATATTAAATTTCAAACAAAATCAAAAATTCTAGAAAAAAAATTTACTTTCAGCTAATTTTTCTGAAAATTATAATATTTTCAACTGTTTGCTTACCTAGGTATGAGTATTCTCTCCATGAATCAAAATCGTACCAGAATCCATAGAATTCTTCAACCTCAGCTCGAGTAGAGTTTTCATCTCCCAACTAAACAATTATCACGATATCAATAAAAAGCGATTAGAATCCATTTCACTGGATCCGCAGTGAAAAAATAAATCCGATTCCAGGCAATAAACATTAAACATTTCTACAAAATTTACTATTTCTTTAAAAATAAAATTTGTTAAAACTTGATAAACCATACAGAGACGTTGAAGTTTTTAATAATCTCTCATTAGTTGACAGTTGAGATTCGTGTTTAGAGGGCTAAACTTTGTTAACAGGTTTTGGTTGGTATTTTACTCCTGGGATCCGTGGATCCGCGATTCCGCATCCGTCAAATCTTGTGGATCTAATTTCATTTCACTTAAAAACTTGTTAAATTATTTAGTTATTAGGTGTCTCGAAAAAAAGAAACTTAATTTTGAAACAATCTTTATTTTGACAAAAAAACCGCAAACATTTTAAATCTGAATATTTTGGGAAACAAAAACCAGTCAAGAAATTCTTCCGTAGAAATCAGGGGTTGTCCCACAAAAAATTACTGTCGATTACCTTAGGTACTGGAGTTCTATTTGACCATCTTGAGTTCCTGGTGAATACAGGTCCAAACACCTTCAGGAAGTCACCGGCCTTTTCCTTCTTCAACACGTCGGGGACATCGTCGTCGAACAGAGGATCCACGGAGTCGAAGGCTCGCCGTGTCACGGGGTTGCCCAAGGTTTCGAAAGCTTTAGTGATACATGTAAAATAGTCGTCGTCGGCTTTTATCTAAAGATTTATGGAATTAGAAAATAAATCATGACGTTATTTTAAGTGACCGGTCATTTCAAATATGTAATCGACGATTCCCAACAGTATCCTTAACTAGTCTAATAAATGACGAGATTAATTCTCTTTCTATCTAATCCAACAAGGCCGTTCTATAAAAATCTGTTAATTTAACATCCGGAAAAGTCCCCTTAATGTCAGCATTAAAACATCGTGTAACTGGATAGTTATAATTCAAAGTTAAATACTACAGCTCAAAACTATATGTTTTTATATTAAATTAATCTGTTACCTCCTCTCCAGCGTGTTTGCGCTTATCAGGATGGTGCTTGAGAACCTTTTGTCGGTGGGCACGTTTAATCTGGTCATCAGTAGCGGCAATTCTACAATTTGATATATTTTTACATTTTATTCGTAATAATATCAGGATCAATGACTGATAAGGATAATAATGAGATAGGAAGTAAGAATAAAATCTTACTGGAAAAGTGAAAATCACTATATTACATGATGAATAATTTTAATGGTACTTTTTATTTATTCATTTATTTATTTATTTATTAATTTATTTATTTATTTATTTATTTATTTGTTTATTCGTTCGTTCATTCATTCATCCTTTCATTTATTCATTTATTCATCTATTTATTTATTTATTATGACTGCATGAACGATAGATAGGAAAAAGAGATAAAATGATTCAGAAAAAGAAACAAGAAAATCAGAATAAAGTTGATATTTTACCTAATATTTGTTAATCCTAGAACACGGTAATGATCCTGCTCCTTCACTTCCTAAACAAATCAATAAATCAACATAAGCAATTATCAATTTTACATAAAGGGACTGTACACGTGATTTCATTTGAAAAAAGGAAAAAGTGAAATGTCAAGTTTACATTTATACCCTTTAAACACTATCTAAGTAACAATAAGAAATTTGTCGCCGTTTTTCACCATAATTCTGACGATTTCCTCCATTGTTCAAGATCATAAATCCGCAAATCACTTTAAAAGAGACAAAACGGTTAAAATAATAAATTTTCCAACAAATAAAGATGGATTTCTTATACATCTTAGATTAGACTAAGGGTAGAATGGTACCGTTGTGACTCGAACCTTCCTACTCTATAAATTGAGGCACATTTTAAATTACGCCTTTAGTCCTTTTCTCGCCCGAGATCATACTATAAAATTGGTATCAAGCTAAAACCAAAAAAAAACACTTTATTTTTAGTATTATTTTTTTCTTCATTGTTTAAAGGTTTTTTTTTAATTTTTAATTCTACGTACTTTTGGATCCAAGCTCCTGAGATAAACTAGATCATCCTCGAATACTTCATTATCTTCCTCCTCGACCTCCTCGTCTGAGGATTCGGAGAGGATTCCCGCGGAGATGGTTCGGGTAGAGTTCAACCTGTCCCACTGGTTCAGAAACCATCTAGATAATATCTAGATTTAGAGTTAATCTAATACAATCCCTCCCGTCTCATACTTCTCATTCTCATCATTCTCATCCTATCCTGTCTCATCTCATCCTATCCGTTCTCATCTCATCGTATCTCATCTCATCTTATCCGTTCTCATCTCATCCTATCCTGTCTCATCTCACCCTATCCTGTCTCATCTCACCCTATCCTGTCTCATCTCACCCTATCCGTTCTCATCTCATCCAATCCTGTCTCATCTCACCCTATCCGTTCTCATCTCATCCAATCCTGTCTCATCTCAACCTATCCGTTTCATCTCATCCTATCCTGTTTCACCTCACCCTATCCGTTCTCGTCTCACCCTTTCCGTTCCCATCTCATTCTATCCGCTTTCATCTCATCCTTTCGATTCTTGCCTTTTACTATCCATTCTTGTCTGCCGACTGGTTCAATATCTCTCTCTTGGTTCTACCTGCCGACTGGTTCAATATCTCTCTCCTGGTTCTACCTGCCGACTGGTTCAATATCTCTACTGGTTCTACCTGCCGACTAATTCAATATCTCTCTACTGGTTCTACCTGCCGACTGGTTCAATATCTCTCTCCTAGTTCTACCTGCCAACTGGTTTAATATCTCTCCTGGTTCTACCTGCCGACTGGTTCAATATCTCTCCTGTTTCTACCTGCCGACAGGTGCAATATCTCTCTCCTGGTTCTACCTGACGACTGGTTCAATATCTCTCTCCTGGTTCTACCTGCCAACTGGTTCAATATCTCTCTACTGGTTCTACCTGCCGACTGGTTCAATATCTCTCTCTATGAGGAACCCTGCAGGAAGCACCCTCGTCTCCTCCGGTGACGAAACCATTTTATTTTCTGAAAAAAAATAATTTTACAAATTTAAAAAATGTCAAGTTCAGAAATCCAGCGGCATTTTGTTCTTGGGTTTTTTAGTTGCTCGCTCCGCAGGTCTGGATAGGAAGGATGAACCAGGGAAGGAGAAACGGAAACCAGAGATCTCAAAACTAAACGTTGTTCCCTTCTTAGGTATCATCCTAATCACAAGATGAAATTAGAAGAAAGTTATGAAAAATTTAATTTTATTGACGTGCGATGTTGCATACTAGAAAATGCAAACTTCTTAATAATTTTATGTCATGAATCAATTTAAAGAGAAATCAAAGACTATGAATGAATAAGAGTTATTGTGAATTTTTTAAACAAAAACGAAAAAAGTATTTACAAGGTGATATTATAAACAACATTTAATATTTACACAAGGTTTTATTCATCCAAATTATCAAAATGATCTCTAAAATAGCATTTTCTCCCTGCCCCTTAACCTTCCAACTCTAGCTACTAACCTGAGTTTATTATCTGTAGATATTATCTGTAGAGTGTGTTTAGTTTCCAGGAGACATATTCCCTTCCTTCCTTCCTGGGAACCACAATCAGATTTGGAAACCTCAAATTCAAAATCAAATTGACAACATGAAAAACATCAACTGAAATTTGAACAAATAATTGTACTCCCCCCCTCCCCCTCACACATTGTAAATGAACTGAATTGAACCCGTTGAATTAGGAAAAATGGATATGAAAAAAAAAATTTCGAGTGAAAATTATGAAAAGGGTGGATAAACTTGTTATTAATGTGTAACTATTCATACCCCTTAGGATAACAAAAATCATTTCTCAAAAATCAATATTCAATCAATACTCTTGGACAGAAAAAATAAATAAAAACAAAATAAATGAATTTTCCCTGTATTTCTAACTAAGAAACGAATAAAAGATAAATAAATGGAATAAAGATGAACAAATTAATCAACGACAGGACGAGTTAATGGAATAAAAGGATAAATGATGGAACAGGATTAGGAATGGAATGAATGGAATAAAAGAATAAATGATAGAACAGGATTAGGAATGGAATGAATGGAATAAAAGGATAAATGATAGAACAGGAATAGGAATGGAATGAATGGAATAAAAGGATAAATGTTAGTACAGGATTAGGAATGGAATGAATGGAATAGAAGGATAAATGATAGAACAGGATTAGGAATGGAATAAAAGAATAAATGATACAACAGGATTAGGAATGGAATGAAAGGATAAATGATAGAACAGGATTAGGAATGGAATGAATGGAATAAAAGGATAAATGATAGAACAGTATTAGGAATGGAATGAATGGAATAAAAGGATAAATGAACAGGATTAGGAATGGAATGAATGGAATAAAAGGATAAATGATAGAAGAGGATTAGGAATGGAATGAATGGAATAAAAGAATAAAAGGAAGAACAGGATTAGGTATAGAATGAATGAAAAAATGATTAATGGAACTACCTCAATGATTGCTCCATGAAGATCAGCCCGACATATTTTCATCTGAATCTGCTGAAGCCTAGGTTCCTCAAGGTTACCTAAACACAACCCAATCTAGGCATACAGAACAGATCAAATTTCTGCAAATTTACTTGTACGACTTTGTGAGGGCTTGATAGGGAAGTTTTCAATCTATCTGTGTACAAGCAAAACATTGTTTCTTTTTTATTGTTTCCATAACGCGACTTATGAGACTTGCAACAATTTTATGGATGAGATATTTGACAAGTAAAACAATTGACATATATAACATTTAACAGATGCGACATATCGACATATGACATAAAAAAATGTAAAAGCTCAAAAATAATAAGTGCATATAATGATTTTAGAGTTATAGGCATTCGGTGGCTCCAGAAAACTTTGTATTTTCTAAAAGTTTGTTTTTATGATTTCACGCAATTTTGATAAAAGAAAACTATTCAACCTTTATATTGGACATGACACTGATAATTGAGAGTCGTTATAATTACGTTAAAAAATCCCTTTAATTTAAATAATTTACCTGGTTCCCATTTACTTTTCTTCAATGAGTCTAGTTCCAATTAATTAATTTACCTGGTTCCCAATTTAATAATTTACCTGATTCCCATCCACCTTTTCTCAATTAGTCTAGTTCCAATTTAATAATTTACCTGGTTCCTATCCACTTTTCTTCAATGAGTCTAGTTCCAATTTAATAATTTACCTGGTTCCCATCCACTTTTCTTTAATGAGTAGTTCCAATTTAATAATTTACCTGGTTCCCATCCTCTTTTCTTTGATGAGTCTAGTTCCAATTTAATAATTTACCTGGTTCCCATTTACTTTTCTTCAATGAGTATAGTTCTAATTTAATAATTTACCTGGTTCCCATCCTCTTTTCTTTAATGAGTCTAGTTCCAATTTAATAATTTACCTGGTTCCCATCCACTTTGCTTCAATGAGTCTAGTTCCAATTTAATAATTTTCCCATCCTCTTTTCTTTAATGAGTCTAGTTCCAATTTAATAATTTACCTGGTTCCCATCCACTTTTCTTTAATGAGTCTAGTTCCAATAGTTCAATTATGTAGGTTCTCCACAAATCATTCAAAGCCTGAAATATTATTTTATGAAGAGCGCTAATAAAGTAGAATTAAGCAGTACAAAAAGTTATTACAGTACAATTGCATTGGAACTGAACACTCGTCACACACTCTAACCTTTTTTATCTTTGCAACCTGATGATGTAAACCTTTGATATTGGTTGCAAAGCAAAGATTTAGGGATGAGGAATTTAGAAATTGTGGAAACTGTTAAGTTCTTTTAACTGACTTAGTATTAATAGTAAGAAAATGTTTACAAATTGATTACAAAACCCAACTATAGTCTTTATTTTTAGATTTAATTTTTAATTTAAAAATTGAAATACAAAATATATATTTCAGGATTTCCTAATATTTTACAATTATTATGAAAACAATATAAATAGTATCAAATTGTTCCAACCTGAAACTGTTGGTAGTTCAATCCAACTTTAGGAAGTCGATTTAATCCCAAGTCTCGTTTTTCCTTGGAGGTCAACATCTTCTTTGAAATTCGAGGCTTTCGAGTCTGAGCTCGTCGAAGCTTTTGAGCCTCGAGGACAATTGTTTTCTTAAACTCATCGGGGATTTCCCGGCGATCACTTTCTTTGACTCGAGTTTCGAAAAATTCGGTTGCGTCTTTTGCCTCGTGTTCGAGGCCTGGTAGGTTAGAATAGAATGTGTCTGGAAGAGGGGCTAGGATTGGTTTAGGTTTAGAATTCATGCTGCTCGGGTTTCTGAACTAAAACAAAATAAAATAAAATTTGACTCTAGTTTTACAATAAGGTCGGAACATTGTCTGATCGTAACAATTCTAATACATTTTGAATTCCACGCTCTGATTGGTTAAGCTATGAAACATCAGGTCCTTCATTAGTTCACTACCCGAAATAATGAACCAATGAGAGACGGATAGAAACAAACAGGGTTTAAGAAACGATTTAGCGCTGATTGAACAGACTTGGCTCTATTAATCCATGAAGAAGTTTCTAAAAAAAGGAAGGAAATCTCTCTGTGCTCCTGCTTCTACTCTTTTCAGACCAGAACTATGAAGACAAATTCAGCTTTTTTTTACATTAATTAGAATGTTAGAAAATAATAAAAAAGTATTAAAATGAAAAGATAAAAACACACCTGATGAAAAATAAATAGTTAACAACACAACTGATGTAAAATGAAAAGTTAACAACACATCTGATGTAAAATGAAAAGATAAAAACACACCTGATGTAAAATGAATAGTGAACAACACACCTAATGTGAAATGAATAGTGAACAAGACACCTGATGTAAAATGAATAGTGAACAACACACAACAAGACACCTGATGTAAAATGAATAGTGAACAACACACCTGATGTAAAATGAAAAGATAAAAACACACCTGAGTAAAATGAAAAGTTAACAACACACCTGATGTGAAATGAAAATTAATAACACACCTGATGTGAAATGAACATTAACAACACACCTGACGTAAAGTGAATAGTTAACAACACACCTGATGTGAAATGAAAGTTAACAACACACCTGATGTGAAATGAAAATTAACAACACACCTGATGTGAAATGAAAATTAATAACACACCTGATGTGAAATGAAAATTAACAACACACCTGATGTAAAATGAATAGTTAACAACACACCTGATGTGAAATGAAAGTTAACAACACACCTAATGTGAAATGAAAATTAACAACACACCTGATGTGAAATAAAAGTTAACAACACACCTGAGTAAAATGAAAAGTTAACAACACACCTGATGTGAAATGAAAGTTAACAACACACCTGACGTGACATGAAAATTAACAACACACCTGATGTAAAATGAATAGTTAACAACACACCTGATGTAAAATGAATAGTTAACAACACACCTGATGTAAAATGAATAGTTAACAACACACCTGAGTAAAATGAATAGTCAACAACACACCTGTGTAAAATAAATAGTTAACAAAACACCTGATGTGAAATAAAAGTTAACAACACACCTGATGTTAAATGAAAATTAACAACACACCTGATGTAAAATGAATAGTGAACAACACACCTGATGTAAAATGAAAATTAACAACACAGCTGATGTGAAATGAAAATTAACAACACACCTGGTGTTAAATGAAAATTAACAACACACCTGATGTGAAATGAAAATTAACAACACACCTGATGTAAAATGAATAGTTAACAACACACCTGATGTAAAATGAAAATTAACAACACACCTGATGTGAAATGAAAATTAACAACACACCTGATGTAAAATGAAAATAAACAACACACCTGATGTAAACTGAAAAACTAGAATATGCCCCAGGCCTGCTCAAATGCGTCACACAGCTTAGAACAGGTCAACGCAGCAGACAAAGGGTAATTACTGAAATAAAAAGTAAAAATATAAAACAATGACTAAATGACTAAATGACTAAATGACTAAATGACTAAATGGCTAAATGGCTAAATGGCTAAATGACTGAATGACTAAACGACTAAATGGCTAAATGACTGAATGACTAAACGTCTAAACGACTAAATGACTGAATGAACCTGATAGAAATGTTCTCCTCTGTATAGTCTGTAACTATTGCACCTTTAGCAATAGCTCCGACGACGATCACAATAGGTTCTTCTCCTTCTGGAACTAGTGTACTGAAAACATCATCATCATCATTATCATAATTATCATCATCATTATCATAATTATCATCATCATTATCATAATTATCATCATCATTATCATAATTATCATTATCATTATCATAATTATCATCATCATTATCATCATCATTATCATCATTATCATCATAATCATCATCATTATCATCATAATCATCATAATAATCATCATAATCATCACCATTTTCATCATTATCATCATTACAGGGTGGCCAAAACTTTTTGGAACCCATCCGTACAAAAATCCGTACATTTTCAGAAGAAATCCGTACAATCCGTACAATTTTCGAAAAACAATCCGTACAATTTTTTTTTTAAAAATTCGTACAATCCGTACATTTTTTTAAACCAATCCGTACATTTTTTAAAAAAAATCTGTACAATCAGCACAATTTTCGAAAAAAAACATTAAAATTCAATTTTTCATTCATTGTCTTTTGTGTTCAGTTCATGTAAGAGGGTTTAAACTTCTTCAGCAAGAATCAATCTGTAAAAAATTGGCTTCATACATATATACAAACTAAATACTGGGTACATGATACTAGGTGCATGATACTGGATACTGGATACATGATACAGGGTACATGATACAGGATACAGGATAC